AACCCGAAACGCTAAACCCCTGAACCCGCCAAGCCTTGACGGCAGAAGCCCAAAAGTTGGAAATCCAACAGCCCCGATCCATAAGAGTAATGTAGAGGGAATCCCAGCAACAAAAATGCCCTTACTCCGGTTTCCAACTTAGTCGGGGCTTACACTGCACCCTAAACCCTTTAAGCCCTTGTACACCCTAAACCCCCTTCAAGCCCCTCTGCAAATCCCTTCTCATCTTGGGAGCCGGATGACTTCTTTTTGGGATGGGCCCCGAAGTCCTGTCGCTGTGATCTCTAAATGCGAAGGCCCGAGCACTGTGTCTGTAAAACCTAAACCCTAAAACCCTAAACCCTAGAACCTAAACCCTAAACCCTAAACCCTAAACCCTAAAACCCTAAAACCCTAAACCCTAAACCCTAAACCGTGAAGGCTTGAGGCTTAGGGACTAGGCTTGAGGTTTTCTGGTTTCGGGCTTGGGGCCTATATAAGGGGGTTGTCAGGAGTCTTAGGGTGCAACGTACCGTGAAGCCTAGCAACGTGAACTCCCGGAGGACAGCTTGGTTGGGTCTGCTGTAGACTGTGGCGCGTTGCGCCCTGACGCGGAGGAGGACTTCCGTTTAGGGTTAGGGCGTTACTGCGACTGTGAGGAAGCTTCGAGGTTGGGGTTGAAGAGGCTTAGGGTTTTTGTGTCTCGGGGCAAACTTCGGGTTTGAGGCTCAGTGTTTGGGGCTTGGGGTTTGCCAAATATACTAGCAACGTGAGAGTGAGATATGCTGAGCCTTTCCATTGGATCTAGGGTGGGCCAGCCACCTATGGATCGTGCAGATTGTCACCAGGTGCCTCAACCAAGAACCTCCAGCCAGCCAAACCTCAGACTCCAAACCTTACCCAAAACCCTAAGCCCTGATATACACCTTGCCTTAAAACTCCAACCCGTGATCCCTAAACCTTCATGTCGAGGAGTATCTGCCAGACGACGAGATGGATGCCCTGACGTCTTCCGTGCGCGTCTTCGCTCGGGCGAAGCCGGCGGACAAGCTGCAGATCGCTGCTAGGCTCTGACAGTAAGAGAAAGAAAAGAAAGCAGCAGAAGGAGTAGCAGTAATATTGGTGTAGTAGTAGTTGTAGTAGTAGCAGTAATAGAAGAAGAAGCATTAGCAGTTTAGCAGTTTACCGGTAGCGGTAGCGGTATCGGTAGCAGAGTAGTACTCGTGCTCGTCATTGTTATCGTCAGCATCGTAATCATCACCATCATCACGGTCATCGCCATTGTCATCAGTAGAATGATTGTAACCATCGATGGCCATCTAACTTCCTCCTTAATCCGAAACCCTGCAGTCTTGAAGCCCTGAACGCAACCCTTATTGCAACCTGTGTCACAACCTGAAGTATCAACCCAGGTGAAGTCCTTGCAGCGCCAGGGCATGGTTTGTCCCACGGCCGAAAGAAAGCTTCAAGGGGCTCGAGGTCTCATTTCAAGTGTAAGCAAAGAACCTGGTTTTAGGGGTTTAGGGGTTTAGGGTTGAGGGTTTAGGGTTTAGGGTTCAGGGTTTAGGGGGATGCCCTCCTAAAGGGTTGTGTGAGCTAAGCCTGTGTTGCGGTTCAGGAAATCATGCGTGTTTGGTTTTTTGCATAGAAGTTTGGGTGTCGGCTTTTAGTTTTGGGGCAGGCGTTTCGGTTTTCCGGATCTATCGGAATCCTCGAAAGTTCGATGTTTTCGCTGTGTAGGTGGGCTGTTTTCCTTACCCCAACCCTAAACCCTAAACCCTAAACCCTAAACCCTAAACCCTAAACCCTAAACCCTAAACCCTAAACCCTAAACCCTAACCCCGAACAACCAACCCCATCCTTCAAGCCCTAAACACTGAGTTTGGCAGCCCAAGTAGTAGGAGTGGCACGAGCGCCGGAACAATTGGTAGAGTTTCTTGCTCGGTATATTTCAAGCTGAAACATAAACTGCTCAAAAAGCCTTACCCTATGATTAAGCACCCGCCCACAAAGAAAGCTATGAAACCTTGAGAAAGCCTGTGAAAAACCTTCGAAACCCAACAACAGCTGTTTAGGGTTTAGGGTTTAGGGTTTAGGGTTTAACCCTAAACCCTAAACCCTAAACCCTAAACCCTAAACCCTAAACCCTAAACCCTAAACCCTAAACCCTAAATTTAGGGCTTCGGAAGCCCTGGAAGTCCCCTAGTCTCATGATTGCAGCACTGATGGGTAAGGCGCGATGACCGGTGACGGCGTCAACGATGCGCCGGCCCTCCACGAGGCGGGTTTCCCGAAACCCTAAACCCTAAACCCTGAACCCTAAACCCTAAACCCTACACCCCCTTCACAAAGTGCTCGTCGTGATGTGAGGGGCCGGTGTGTTTTCCCTACCGGGGGAGCTTTAGTGTAAGCCTCAACCTGAGGCAGGCTGGATCGCACAGAAAAGGCCACTACACTTAAGACTAAAACCCTAAACCCTAAATCCTAATCCGGGTCCACAGGTTTCTTTGTCACAACAAGAGGGGGCTCCTTCTTGGGCTCTTGGGCAAGGAGGATCCTATGATGTAAGGCTCGACACCCATGTGGGCAGTTCTGTAAATTCGGGTACCTTTTTTGGGTCCCCAATGTAGTGCGGCACCTTATAAAAAGGACCCCAAAAGGGACCCTAATTCAGAAAACTACCCAAATTCAGGTCCCTGACTTATGCTGAAGGTCCTACTGCTGAGGGTTGTGCACTGGGGCCCTTTCTGTTTCTAAGACTCAGGATCGACTGGGAAGGTCTGATGAGAGCAGCAAACCTACGGGATAACTTTTCTTGGTGTAAGAGTCAGGGGTTCGGTGTGTGGGAGTTTAGGGGTTTACGGGTTTGGGGTTTTAGGCTTGAGAAGCGCTTCATGGATCGCGTTGTTCTTCGCAAGGGTGGTCGGCTGCGCTTTCGTGCTGGGTTGAAGTTTACCCACTATGTTTCTCATTTTGCTCAAAAGCCCTTTCAAACAGAATGGTGAGCGATTCAGCTGTTGGCCAAGAATCCTGACTGTGAAGCCTCCAATATCCTAAACGGCCCAAGCCAGCATCATCAATCCCAAATACTAAACAGCCCAAGCCCTTAGGCGCGTCGCCCTACGCCCGAAACCGTAAAGCCTTGAAGCGCCGTACCCTGAGCTAAACTCCTAAGTCCCAAAACCCTCTAACCCTCTGAGCTCAAAGCCCTGAAACCCTACACCCTAAACCCTGAA